GATGTATATACCAGATCACAACCTCTCATTCCTGATTAAGGAATCAAATGCATCTACCGTCCTCCAGTTTCCATATCCACACTTAACCCGTTGGACTTAATGGGGTTTACTTCTGAGTAGAAGATGGTGGAGGATTGCCATTGTACTGTAACTGTTTCAAATCCCATTGCACCCATAAGCATGCACGGAGAGACTGTGCATGTGTGCAAAAAAAAGATGGCGATTCACCCCTTTGTTCTTGTTTAATATACCTAGTCAAATTTGGTTTGGGTTTTTTTGAGGTGATGAAAATATTATACAGTAAGGGATCTTGAATTCTTTAATACTTGTACATCAAACAGATACCAATCTGGACCACAACTTTTGGTAAAGGGTCCCAAAGGCTTTGCAACCAAATTACGCCCTGATATTCTTATGAAGGGACGCGGGTGGCGCTGTGGTCTAAACCACAGAGCCTAGGGCTTGCCGATCAAGGAGGTCGGCGGTTCGAATCCCTGCATCGGGGTGAGCTCCTGTTGCTCGGTCCCAGCTCCTGCCAACCTAGCAGTTTGAAAGCACGTCAAAGTGCAAGTAGATAAAGAGGGAAGGTAAACGGCGTTTCCGTGCGCTGCTCTGGTTTGCCAGAAGCGGCTTAGTCATGCTGGCCACATGACCTGGAAGCTGTACGCCGGCTCCCTCTGCCAATAAAGCGAGATGAGCGCCGCAACCCCAGAGTCGGTCACGACTGGACCTAATGGTCAGGGGTCCCTTTACCTTTATTCTTATGAAGAATTGGGTATGTGAAAATGCAGTAGGTGAAAAATGAATGCCGCTAGTCCTCATGGTTGCAGGCATGAACATTTCTGCTCAGAAATACAGGCTTCTGTAATTGTAGTTAATCAAGCAACACTTCCAAGACATTCCCCTCCATTTCAAACAAATTGGTTATGGCTTCCTGCTGACCTTTTGCCACCACTGCCTCCTGGTGCCCATCCCTTTTCCTAGTCTCACCCCGGGCCTTTTCTGAAATCAGAACAAACTCCCCAAATTTATAATCCAAAGCAAGAATATTTGCAATGTTCACCTCCTAAATCCAATCAAAATAATTGGGCTTTCTAGCCATTTTTTAAAGCAAAGACCCCTCTGGCTTTGAGCTCCTTAGAGCACAATTTGCCAGCCAGATCTCCATGGCAGCCAGCTGCTAATTTATTACATCTATGGATATTGTGGTTGCCACCTCTTCAAGAGAAAAGAGAGAAAGAACAGTACTCATTTGTATATGTTAATCCAGTTAGTTTTTTTAAAAAATGTATGCAAACTTATTGTCTAACGCTGGGGCCAAGCTTTTTGAAAAAACGGGGGTGGAAATGAGAAGAAAAAAATAGTCAACACAAGCCAGAATAAGACTAGTCACGTGGCAACCCCAATGTACATTTTAAACAGAGCATTACAGTAAGGCGGTGGCCTTAATAACAGAGCCTATAGAAAATATTGTGAAGCCACATCTCAATCTTCCATCCAGTGACAGCAAAAGTGAAGGCTCTGGTCTGTTCCTCGCTATATAGGGCTCGGAGCAAGCTGGAGCGCACAGCTTTCGGAAGACTCAAATCCAAGAGCCCATTTGCCCTCTGTTCCTCCTGTGGCAGACAGAGCACATGTCAGAATTTGTCTGGGAAAGGAGGCAACGGGACTGATGAATTCCCCTGCCAATTCATTCATGCAGGCTGGACACGCCGGTTTTGGCAGTTTTCAGTGCATTTCAAAACGGCGCATACAGCAAGGGGGGAAATTGACAAAGTTCTTTAACCTCTCTCCCCAACACACACACCATGCCTTGCACCTTTGCAGAAGGCCTCTGTTGGCTGCAAGGGCAGCGCAAAACATTTTGTTGTGTGAACCTAAGGAAAAGAGAGCACACACACACACACACACGTCATTTCCATATACAGAAGCCAGCTGGACTGACGGCTGAATTTTGCTTCAGCACTGCTAACAGGATGGAACACTTGGGGGCAGCAGACTCACATATGGGATGCAGGGTTTGCCCGCATGGCCCACACAGCTCTGCCCTCCCAGCAGCTTGCTGCCACTCCACCGAATCTGCCGCCTGAAGCAGCTGCCTCACTCTGTCTAATGGTACAGCCGGCCCTGATCAGCTGCTTACTTTCTGAGCCTCCAAATCCATGGCAGGCTGCTGCCTGACCAGACTTCCCTTTCTTGGGTGCGCAGGAGAATAATGCTTCTATCTGCCCAGTTGGGGGTCTCCCTCCTGAAGCTTACTATCAGTGCAAGGCTGCAGAAAGCAAGGAAACTTGGTCTCTGTTCAGCTCACGGCATGGCTGCTGTCGTGAGCAGACACGAAACCTAATCTGGGTGTGGCACATGTGGTTCATTGCAACTGCATCCCAGCTTGTACATGAATAATCGGAGGCTAATCTGAAGACAAAGAAAAATAGGGTTGCCACATGTCTGAAATTTCCTGGACATAGCCGGAATACTGCAGCCGCAAGCAGAAATCGGTGGAATGCCCAGGAAAATCCGGATGTTGGCAGTGTCGTTTATGCCACTCAAAAATGTCCAATTTCAACTTTTCTGTCTGGATCTTCGCTTTTTGAAATACAGCAACCCTAGAAAAGTCCCAAAGAGAAAGGTGTGTTTCTAGTCAGCCCATCCCTAGGCAACTTTCTGCTCCTAAGCATTAACTGCCAATCACTGGCCTGATTCTCCTTATAGGTAAAAGGTGAAAGGTAAAGGACGCCTGGACATTAAGTCCAGTCAAAGGCAACTATAGGGTGTGGCACTCATCTTGCTTCAGGCCTCGGGAGCCTGCGTTTATCCACAGACAGCTTTCCGGGTCATGTGGCCAGCATGACTAAACCGCTTCTGGCGCAATGAGACGCTGTGACGGAAGCCAGAGCGCACGGAAATGCCATTTACCTTCCCGCCAGAGCGGTACCTATTTATCTACTTGCACTGGCGTGCTTTCAAACTGCTAGGTTGGCAGGAGCAGGGACAGAGCAACGGGAGCTCACCACCGACAAGTGGATTCGAACCGACAACCTATTGATCAGCAAGCTTAAGAGGCCCAGTGGTCTAAATCCGCATCCCTGTACCCTTTCTGCTTATACCAACCAAACGAAGCCATGATATTCCTTCTAGCTTCATCTATACCACTCTTCCCCAACCTGGTGCCTTCCAGACTATTTGGACTACCGCACCCATCAGCCAATGTTGCCAGTGGTCAGGAATGATGGGAGTTGCAATGCCCACAACATCTGGTTGATGTTTTATTGTGTTTTTAATATTTTGTTGGGAGCTGCCCAGAGTGGCTGGGTCAACCCAGTCAGATGGGTGGCATATAAATAAAATAATCATCGTCATCATCATCATCTGGAGGGCACCAGGTTGGGGAGTGCTGGTTTATACCCTGCTCTCCAGTCTTTTCCTAGCCCTACCTGGAATTGCCAGGGGTTGAACCTGAGACCTTTTGCATGCAAAGCAGTGGCAGACCACTGGCCCTCCTCCATGTTTTCATACGACTATTTTTTTCTGATGTGCACCCAAATTTACAAACGAGCGCCTGTGGAGATCATCAGATCCATTTTTCAAACTCAAGCTCCTTTTTCAAACCATCTGCCTTCTGCCCAACCCAGCCTTCAATTACATTATGTGACTTTACCATGAATGAGGATTAAGAAGCGCTCTTCTGGAGCAGGCCAATGGTCCATCTTGCCCAACGACCTACCCTCACAGTGGACAACCTGGGCAGCTGCATATTTCTGCATCTACGATTCTATGATTCGACGCTCATGGGTGAAACCACAAGCAGTAGCAGCTCATGCACTGAGCAGTGACACCAGTTTCAGTCCAAGTAGCGCTGATTTATCCACAAGGGGATAGACCCAATAAGTTAGGAGCTTTGCGTTTTTGTCAGCCTTTGTCTCCCAGACCAGCACAATTCCAGCCATTATTTTTAATATCCCTGAAAAATCCACTATCACAATCTTTCAGCATGTTAAACGTCCTCCCTCCTCCACGCTGTAGTTCCACAAGGCGTCCCTCCCGATTCTCCTCTTCAGGTTAGGTGAGAGCCTGTCTCAGCTGTGCACATCTCACTACTGCTGCGCACTCTTGCCCAGCGCAACTTGGAGAGGGGAGGGTCTCAGGAGGAGTGACCCAGATCGGTGACTTTGAGGCCCCTTTTGGGAACTCTTGCTTCCTCCCTCAGCACAGTCGCTGCCTCAGCCCAGTCAGTAGCAGCTGCTGCCCCTCTTTCTGCTCCAGCTTTGTGCGTTAATCACTTCACTCCACAGCCAGTGTATGTTTACCCATTATTAATAAGGCCTGTCATCTCGCTTCTTTCACCCAGGCCACCTCTGTGCCAAGGAGATCTTGGACTTGGGCGTTTTGTTTTCTTCCGTTCTTTAAAGAGACAGCGGCTTCATCTGGCTCTTTCGCGGCATGTGCCCGTACATCTATGAAAATCTTGGCGTTTCTCGAGTTTGGAAGTTGGGGGTTTAGCTGTGGAAGCCATTTCCCTGCCTATGAAAATATGCTCTTCAGGCCTGAGCCACTCTCCTCTCCTCCTAAACGGCAGTTCTCCCCCTGTCCAGCTTTTGGCCACTTCCTTTCTCCAACTTCATGACTCTCACATCTTAGTGGTCCAGTCAGTCCAGTGGTTAGTTAACAGAAATAGACATTGATAAGAATAAGAATAAGAACCTGCCCATCTGGCTGGGTTTCCCCAGCACACTCTGTTCCACTACTGCAGACTGGAATCCTCCATCCGCTTAGAGGCATTCCTCAAAAGTGTGAGAAAATCCAAGGCTGGAAATCCCACAATCTGCCTCTGCCCCTCCCTGGCAGTAAAAATGCAAATATCATTTATTATATCGCTAACTGCTTGCCGCCTTTTCATGACACCTAAAACCAGCTGCCTGAGGCAGTCTCCTCACTCTACTTAGTGGTAGGGCAGACCTTGGAAAAAACACACAACCTCCTTTTTACCTTCCAGATTCTGGACCTGGGATAGCTCAGTCGGTAGAGCATGAGAAGACTCTGAAACTCAGGGTTGTGGGTTCGAGTTCCACGTTGGGCAAAGGATTCCTGCCTTGCAGGGGTTAGGCTATAGATGACCCTCATGGTCCGCCTTCCCACACTACAATTCCGTGATTGTGTGGCTGAAAAATGATGGCTGGAGCGGACCAGGGCGTCCCTAAGCAGTATAAAAGCGATCTTTGTTGTGTACCCTGGAAGCAGCCGGCTGCATAGTGCTGGCCTGAGAAGTTCTGAGCCCTCCTCAATTCCATATTCAGAAGCTTACCAGACTGGCAGCTGAATCTGCCTTCGGCAATGGCAGCAGGACAGCGTCCTTGTGGGAATTCCCTTCCACGAGAGCTAGTGGTGGCCAGAAATATTAGACAAATCCAAGGAAGAGAAGACTATCAAGGGTTGCTAGCCATGAATGCAAGTTGCCAGGAATTGCAAGTGCGGAGGGTGTTGTCCTGCTCAGGTTGTGAGCTTCCCATGGGCGGCTGGGCGGCAACTTTAAGAACAGGTCATTGGACAAGATGGGGCTTTGGTCTGACCCAGCTGGACTCTTCTTTATGTCATTATCCTTCATGGCACCTGAGGGCAGCTGGCCAGCTGAGGTGGGACAAGGGCAGGCCACCTGGCACACATGGCTCTGTCCTCCAGCTCATCGCCTCTGCTCCACGTCCCTTAGAATCTGTCACCTGAGGCAGCTGCCTTACTCTGCCCGATGGTAGAGCCGGCCTGCAGCTGTAGATACTTCAGAGCAAGAAGGGAAACACATACCCTCGGACATTTCTCTGATGAAAATAGACATCCTATTCAATAATAATTATTATAATATTTATACCCCGTCCATCTGACTGGGTTGCCCCAGGCACTCTGGGCAGCTTCCAACATATATAAAAACATAATAAAACATCAAACATTAAAAGGTTGTATAGTGACTTATCTCCTTGGCTCAGGGGTCGCATAATTCCATACCCTCCAACATTTCTCCAATGAAAATAGATCCGAAGGAAAAGCGGGACATTCTGGGATCAAATCAGAAACCGGGACGACTTCTGGAAATCTGGGACTGTCCCTGGAAAATAGGGACACTTGGAGGGTCTGGAATCACCCCCCACTTCGCCATTCCTCCAGCCCTACTCATATTGTAGCAGTTGTACAGTTTTAAGCTATTGCTTCAACCTCACCTTCTGTAAGCCTGGTCCCCTAGTCCATAGATTCATGCTGGTCTATTGCGCTTGGAGTTCTGAACTTGGTCACAGGGGACCTTTGCTTTGATGCTGGTTCAACCATGGTCTCCCTGTGTGGTCTTCATTGAGCTGGAATATCTCCCAGTCTCAGAGAATACCTACATTACATCACACCTCTTGGAGTTGTAGGCAGGGTGGGGAATAAGGTCCTTTTGCATGACAAGACAGTTCCACAGTTTATATTTGCAGTCCTATGGGTGGAGGTGAGGGGAACGCTTCACTGAATGCAGAAGATGCCCTTGGGAATGTGCAGCACATGTGACACTCCCAAAAGTCATTTGAAATGGTCTACACTGGCTCGGGGAGTCAAGGTCTTGCAGGAAGAGATAGCCACACGTTGCTTGTTTTAAAAATGGGGCTGCAATGTTCATTTCTCAATAAAATCAGGCGTCGTCCTTGAGATGAGAGGCAGCGTGTCGGGGTGGTGGCACCTCTGAACTTACTTTTTTTAAAAAAGCTAGCACTTGCTGCAGTTGGTGGACTAGTTGGTGGAGTGGTTAAGAGCGGTGGACTCGTAATCTGGTGAACTAGGTTCGATTCCCCGCTCCTCCACATGCAGCTGCTGGGTGACCTTGAGCCAGTCACACTTCTCTGAAGTCTCTCAGCCCCACTCACCTCACAGAGTGTTTGTTGTGGGGGAGGAAGGGAAAGGAGATTGTTAGCCGCTTTGAGACCCCTTCTGGTAGTGATAAAGCAGGATATCAAATCCAAACTCTTCTCTTCTTCTAGGGGAGAACACAGGTGTCTTCTTCCACAACCAAGTGGCACATTTAAAAATGGTTACAAAACAGCACATGCATTTGGGAGGGGGAGTTGCTCATCCCAACTCCCTCGAAAACCCCTGATACTTGCCCAACTGCATTCCATGGGGCAATCAAAACAGCAACAGATGTGCTCCCTGTATCAGCGATGGGGGAGCACAGGCCCAGGGTTCCCTGGTGACCTTGCAGGACTCTTTATCAATCCCTCAGACCTCTCCTGAGCCCCACTGCAAAGCCCTGATGCTAGCCTTGGTCAGAGTTTTCCTTGACTACTTTTACTTGGCCGGACTGTCTCCCTGAATTATGATAATGCCTCTTGCTTGCCTGGATAGAGGACAGAGATGGATATGTACACATATAGAAAGCTGTCACATTTGCATGGCTGGAGCTGGGCATTACAAATATATCATCCATTCTGGAAAGACCTTAAGAACGGCAAAGCACTTTGCACGAGAAGAAGTGATTGGCGGTCAAGGAAAGCCAGCGCAAGATTTTGCACACACACACACACACCCCTACGCTGTCTAATGCCTAGTGGATGCATCTGTCCTCAAGAAGTTTGTCTGTTCCTTTATCAAAACAAAGCAAAACAACTCGGCTACGTTCTGTGACATTGCAAAGAGGCATTTAATGTGAACTTGTTGCTTTCGACTTTTTGAAGATTCCCTTCAGCCAGGGTCTCTGCTGGAATGATGCACAAAGGCTGCCCAGTAGCACCTACAGAGTGTGGATATGGTCCAGAGGTCAGAAGAGGTTTCAGATGAGACTCACCCTTTGTGTGAGTTAAAACCAGTAACAGAACCCAGGGATCAATGGCTAGCATACAAAAAGCACACACGTCTCCCAAGGCTACTTCAGCAGTGCCATACTGCCCCCTCGTGCCCATATTTAATATGACAATATTTAATATGTTTTGGATCAGAGCTGGATGCCACCAGTTGAATATAACCTGAGCTGCTTGGAAGTTTGTATCTTCTTGAAGCAGGAGTGGTGAAGTCACTGGGTGATCTCCTATGTGTGCCGTAGTCAGAATAGTAGTAGAACCACTGAAATTAATTGTTTGAGGCTACTCAAGTAAATTTATTCCAGTGGGTCTACTCTGAGTACAACTAACACAGGAAAATCAATCACTCACTGCCCACAACTGGCATCACACCAAAGGATCAAATGGATATTTTCCATCCTTTGAGAACTGCGGAGGAGAAAGATACAACGCAAATTCAGATTTTTGTTTCCAACAATAACAAATCCCTGTGCAATCACTGTTCAATGGGATTTGACCTAAATTTGAACACTAAAACTCATCACCTTGACTGTATTTCAACTCTAATATGGTCAGTGCTTTTTGGGGGGGGCAGGGGTACGCATATTCCTAAACATTTTGTGAATCTAATGGGAGAAGAAACTTAAAATTTTAAAGTTTTTAGTTTCTTCTCTAGCACGGCAAATCGTCAGTTCCGTTGCTACCCCCAATGGTGGCCTCATTTCCTGTCACGGTGTTTCCTGAATCTCAGATGGAATGAGAGAACCCCAAAACATTTTTTTAGGGGGGGGGGGAACACTGAATATGGTTATGAGAAGATTTCAGCTGATCCAAGCCAGTTGAGTTAGGCTGGATCTTGCATTTGTGACAAACTCTGTTCAATATTTCATACAACCCTTCCGTGATCTGTTTGGGAGTGGGTGGCAAGCAACACAAAGAATGAGCCAGAAAGATGCTCATTTTTCATCCCAGACCAACAGTTACCATAGATTTTAGATTTTCTTGAAAAATTACTCCCTTGCACAGCCACCTCAGCACAGTGCAGTACTAAAATAGACTCTTCCAAAGTAGTCAACAAGCCAAATTAAGGAGTTTGGGGCTATGATCTGGTGAAATTTGTTTAGCCCTCCCTCTGTCCCACCACGCCACAAATTGCTTCAGAAAGTTCTCTTAGTTTCAAAAGGTATTTGCCAGGTGGAATGGAGAGCCAGTGGCTGCCCATGAAGAAAGCCCTAAAATCCCCTTAGGTGTGCAGGGCAAGTTTTTTGTTTTAGTTTTTATTAAAGGTTTTATTGTGTAACAAACAAGCAAGTAAATAAAGAAAAGTACATCTACGATACGATACCATACAATAATCTTTATTGTCATTGTCCCATACAGAACAACGAAATTGAAAAAATCTACACCAGACATTCAAAACCAACAAGCCTGCTATCCCAACCTGTTTAGCCCCCTAAAAATTCTGATACCCCATAATTAAATACAATATACTCTCATAGAGACTACCTTACACTGCGTTTAAAACCAAAATCGCATTTAGATAGAAACTGTTTCTCAGGCGGCTAGTCCTAGTCTTTATAACCCTGTACCTTCTTCCGGAAGGCAGAAGCTGAAAGAGATCACTTCCAGGGTGCACACTATCCTGCACCTGCGTCTCCACTTTTAATTCATAGAGGCTTTTGCACAGTTCATTTATATTCGGTATGAGACTTTTGTCATATGCATTATGTGGTTGGGGGAAAATGGGGAGGAGAGAGATTGGGGGAAGACATGGGTGTGTGCAGGGCAAATTGCCTGATAGTGAGCTGTATATAAAGGTCAGGAATCAAACTAAGTTGAACGTATTGTCTTAATTCTTCCTTTCCCTTCCTTCCTTCTCTCACTCTGTCCTGTTTTCCTTCCTCTCTCTTTGTAGTACAGTGGTACCTCTGGTTATGAACTTAATTCAGGACTGCAAGACGTTTTGTAAGGAGGACTATGCGAAATATTGCAGAGGAAAGTATGAAGAGAATTATTAGTGATTAAAAGTAATAGTGAAATTAATGAAATGCAGATTAAGTGATAAAGACTGAAAAATCTTCAGATGTGGTTGATGGAAGTCCAAAACATTGTATAAGATAATAAAATATGTCATATGATTTGTGGAAATTTTATGTAAAAATCCATCAATAAATATATATATAAATATAAATAATAATAATAAATAGCAGGCAAGTCTGGTAGCTTTTCCAGCTTCTCCTGGATTCTGCAGCTGCCAGGCAGATGTTTCTGCCCAGAAGTGGTT